GGAGAGGGTAGCTCCCGCCAAGACGAAGCACCCGAAGGACCCTCAGACCCAGCACCGCCAGAAGCCACATGAGCAGACCCAACACCCCCAGGCTCCGCACCCCCAGGCTCCGCACCCCAAGGCTCCGCACCCCCAGGCTCAACACCCCCAGGCTTAGCACCCCCAGACTCAGCACCCCCAGGCTCAGCACCCCTAGCAGCACCAGAGTCAACAGCTACCTCAACAGGCTCGACTGCGTCTACCTGGGACACACCTGACGGGGCAGGACCCTGAGGGGGGAGAGGGTCTACTGGGCGTGGACCTGGTGCAAGGAAGAGCGGCGGCGGGGGGAGGGGCGCAGTGCGGTAGGGGAAGAGACGGTAGTAAGGAACCGACTCATCAAAGGTGACGTCCTGGGAGGACAGAACACGGCGCGAGGTGGGGTGGTAAAACTGCCAACCAGGCGCGTCAGGGGGGAAGCCAAGGAAGATGCAGGGAACAGCACAGGGGGACAGCTTGTCCGCAGACAAGTCGCAGACAAACGCCTGAGATCCCCACACACGAAACGCATGCGCATCGCCAACCTTCCCCGTCCACCACAAGGTGGGGGAGGTCTCCGGCAAGGAGACCCGGGGCTGAAGGCTGATCTGATGCGCTGCGTACCGAACCGCAAACGGCCACAGAAAATGGGGAGCAGCCGCATGGATCATGGACGTACAAGCGACGTCCATGACCATGCCAATGCGGCGCTCAGCAATCCCATTTTGCTGTGGAGAGGCCGGAAGCGTGAACGTCTGGCGGATGCCCTGTGCATGACAGAAGGCTCCCAGAAGGCCGGAGGAAAACTCCCCGCCTCTGTCAGAGTGCAGACGCAGAACATGGAAGTCCGAGCCGAAACTCTCTCTGAGCTGGAGACGAGCTGCGCGGATCCAGTCGATCAACACCTCAGTGACGTCACCCTTGATGCGCAAGGGGAAGACTGTGGTGTAACGCGAGTAGTCGTCAACCACCAACAGGAAGTAACGCTCGTGACCCTGGCCACGGACGCGGGCAAGGCCCCACACGTCCATGTGAAGAGTCTGCAGCGGAGCCTCTGTCGGAGGAAACTCGGAGGAGTGAGGGGCGGCGCGCTGTCGCCCCTCGACGCAGGGAACGCAGGTAGGGGCAGGCCCCGGAGGGAGGGAGGGAGGGACCGGGGGAGACCAGCGACAAGGTAACGGGAGGCCATGCCTCGGAGACGAGGCAGGGAGGGGTGACCAAGGCGGTGGTGCCAGAGGAGAGTCCGGTGGGACAGGAGACGACACGAGCAGGGAGCAGACTCAGGACCAGACCTGGACGCTGCAGCAAACACCTGACCCGTCGCAGCTACCTGACCAGACTCAGCAACCGGAGGAGACTCAGTAGTCAGTGTGTACAGGCTCGACCCCGGCTGACGGGTAAACGTGGCCAAGTGTCGACCCGTCTGAGCACACGTACAGTGGGTCACCCGCTGACTCGCAGGAGTGAACTGGTCAACCCCCCCATCCTGTAAATCAGCACCACTCGCCAAGTTCGTAGAGAACGAGGGGAGGTAGAGACCTGACAGGGTGCTAGAGGGGGCCGCCGGACACGGTAAGACAGTGGAGAAGTGGGCAAGGACAGGACCCCCAGAGGGGTCCGCCAGGGAGACCGCAACTGGCCGACTAAGCGGCGTAAGCGTGGTGCGGTCTCGAAAGAAGGAGCGGGAAGCACCCGAGTCAAGGGTGAAGGTGTGTAAGGCCTGAGCTGACGTGGTACCTGAGAGAGCAGACTCACCAGCACCTGGGGTAGCAGACGCACTAGCACCTAGAGCAGCAGCCTCACCAGCACCTAGAGCAGCAGCCTCAATGCCCGGGTCAGGCGGAACACACAGGTAACAGTCACCCTCATCACTAGTAGACACAACATACATGGCAGCAAGAATGGCATCATAATCTAGATCAAAGATAGCAACCCCCGACCTAAGGAGCTCGCTCCAGCGGGGGATCTTAGTGGCGTCAGGGAACTGAAGACGCCAAGCGTACATCAGGCGGCCGAAGCAGCGATGGGTGGTGTGCGGGCCACCGCACGGCTCACCAGTGCGGTCGCCGGTACGCAGGACGTAGGCACAAGGACCAGCACCCCCACCCCGCTGATGCGCAGCGTACCACTCACGAAGCTGCTGGGGGGGCGGGGTCTCACGAGTGCGCTGCTGCTGCTGGCGCTGACCACCACCGAAGCCGCCCCGTTGCGCAGAGCCACCCCGACCAGCTCCACCTCCGCCACCGCCACCTTTGCCACCGCCGTCACCGCCTCCTCCTCCGCTCGGTGCCAACGAAGTCGACGGCAGCAGCAGAGGCAATAGAGGGCAAAAGTGGTGAGGGGGAGCACCCCTCAAAGAAGGGGGTACGAGGGTCACCACAAGAGGCTCCTACAGCGACTATACTCTTCTCAGCTGCCAGGAGGCGCTCCTCGAGGAGGTCAACGGTGAGTGTGGTGGGGCAAACTGAGAGGAAGTGGTCCCTGACCCAGCGAAGGGAGTCAGAGAGCCGGGTGACTATGTAGTAGAGGGTGATGTACATGGGGGGAGGGTTCTTGGCGCAAAACTCAGCAGGAAGCGCAGCGCGGTAGCGGGTGTCACTAGTGCGAAGGTGCGTAATGAGGTCAGCGACTGTGGGAAAGGCGGCGAGGTCAGGGAACAGGTACGGCAGCATGAGGCGGCTAAGGGCAGCAGTGGCAGGGGAAGATTACCGTGCAACTACAGCGTCGTACAAGGTCTTAGCACTCTTGTACTGACTAAAGTGCGCGCGCTCAGTAGACGGCAAGTGACTACGCACAGCACGACGGGCAGCAGCATCGCGTGTGGCCCACTGTGAGCGAATAGTGCTGTCAGCATCGGCAGCAGGGGCAGCAGAGACGCCAGACGTGAGATCCAACAGTAAGAGACCGTCTTTCGTATCGCACTGTAGGAAAAGCTGTAGATCATCGACCCAGACCTCAAAGTCAACAGCCCTACCCTCAACATCAAAGACGAGAACGCTAGGGGTAGCCATGACAGCAGTGGCAGCAGGCAAGGGGCAGTGGCAGCAGTAGCAACAGTAGGGGCACGGCTCGGCGGTGCTCTTACCAGGGCAGGTGGGTAGAGGTCCGCAAGTGGTTGGGCAGGGCCGAGGCGCACCGGTAGGGACAGAGCCGCTACAGGGCGGCAGAGTACTGCCACTCCTCTCTGCAGGGCAAGGCCAGGACGGCGGCGGCGGCCCCTGCTGTCGGCGGCGGTGGGGGCTGCAGTCGGCGGCTGCGGCCCCGGCAGTGGCGGCAGCGGCTGCTGCTGTCGGCGACTGCGGCGGCTGCGGCCCCGGCTGTGGCGGCGGCGGCTGCTGCTGTCGGCGGCTGTGGCGGCTGTGGCCCCGGCTGTGGCGGCGGTGGCTGGTGCTGTCGGCGGCTGCGGCCCCGGCAGTGGCGGCGGCGGCTGCTTTTGTCGGCGGCACCCACGGTGGCGGCTCCCGCTGCAGGGGCGGTGACGGCTGCTGCTGCAGGGGCGGCGACGGCGGGGGGGCAGGTCCGTGAGGGAGCCGAGAAGGGGCCGCGGAGGAGCCGAGAAGGGGCCGCTAGGGGCGGTGAAGGGGCCGCGAAGGGGCCGTGAGGGGCCGCGAAGGGTGGCGATGGGGCTGAGAAGGGGCCGTGAGGGGCCATGAAGGGCGGCGACGGGGCCAAGACGGGGCCGTGAGGGGCCGCAAAGGGCAGCGACGGGTCCGAGAAGGGGCCGCGAGGGGCCGCGAAGGGAGGCGACGGGGCCGTGAAGGGCGGCGACACGGCCGCGAAGGGCGGCGACGGGGCTGTGAAGGGGCCGCGAGGGGCCGCGAAGGGGCCAAGAGGGGCGGTAAGGGGCCGCGAAGGGCCGTGAGAGGGGCCGCAAAGGGCGGCGGAGGGGCCGCGAGGGAGCCGCAAAGGGGCCGCGAAGGGCCGTGAGAGGGGCCGCGAGGGGCCTTAAGGGGGGAGCGACGGGCCGCTAAGGGCAGGAAACACGACGGGAGGGCAGGCACACGGGGCGCGACTCGGGCAGGAGCGAAGCGCGCTCTGGGCAGGAAAAAAAAAAATCGATCGTGGTGGGCCCTATGAAACATTCCCACTAGGGAACCTGCTCTGATACCATGTGAAAGAACGAGGAATGAAATGACTAGGAAACAAGTGGGTACAAGTAGGAAACCCTAGAAATGTTGTACCCTATAGTGTCTACCCCACTACAGCCTAGAAAGACTATAGTATATAAGTTTGACATTACGCACGCATTAAGGGATATCGCGCCGACGCGGACATCTGGCACAAAGAATTTCGGCACCCATGAATTGAAGTGCTCAACAACTGCATCAACGCAAAAGTATTTGCGGAAGACGCATTGTTGCTGCTAGATGGAAAGTTGCTCCAACCAAGAAAGGGCTTACCCAACTACACCATCTGCCCAGAAGCAGCTTTGCGCCACACCCGGTTCGCCGAAAAGATACATAGAGCCGAGCGATACTACTCACTTGACAAGTTCTACAGTGACTTCCTGGTGCTCACGGCAAAAGGACCCGGAGGAGAGTAGTACACCCTTACCTTCCTTGACGCCGGAATGCGCTTCGTCTGGGCTGTGAATGTCAGTCACCACTACCTCGCCTACTAGTGTTTCTACCTGTGGCTCACGATGGCGAAAACCGAGAGCGAAGACAAGACGCTGAAAGCCTTCCAGACCGATGGAGCTCTGGAGTATCAGAAAGAGGACTTCAACAACCTTTGTACGGAACTGGGAATTCATAGGATGATTTCCCTTTCCTACGCTCATGCGCAACAGGGACTAGCGGAGAGAACCAACAGGAGCCTCGCGACAAAGATGCGAGCTCTCAACAAGTCAACGTCCTCGCTACAATGCACGCCGAGTTCTGATCTTCTTAACAGTATCGTCTTTAACATTCGAAATGGAAGTCTGGTAATTTATGCTGACCTCAGTCTCTCCAGTTATCAGGCGAGAAGCATCAGGCTCAGCCATGCATTCCCAAGGCCGTGTTACCTTCAAGTTAATTACCATGTTAATTTCAGCGTATCGTCAACTTCCATTATCGATGTATCTCCCACCATCATTAAAGCCCGTAGCTAAAATAGTGACCCCCCCGTTCTAGTTGGGTCCAGCTTGATTACTCAAGTTTTTTTGCATTGTTTTGGAAAGTTATAAGTGCTGCGATCAGAAGTTGATCGTAGCCCAGGATCTGCTCTGGAAGGTTCGCTTAAAGAAAGGTAGTGTTGGTGGGCCCTTGATCTCAAATGGCAGAGTGAATGTAAAATGCTTGAGATGATCAAAACATGCAGGTACAGGAAATATAAATATGAGTACAGGGGAGTCGAAACGACCTAGCTAGCCATGTACTCTAAGTGGTACATTCCCTTATTCAGATATATTCTTAACTGTGCGGCTCATACAGTTTCGTAACTGTTCCCGCCAAAACCATCCTGCCTGCAGCTGCCCGGTGCTGTCTCCTCTGACGGTCCAGATATCCTGTAACCGTTCGACGCTTCGATTCAGTTCCAAGCGTCTGACGCTTCGCGTTCATTTCCGGTATTGCGTGTTCCTTTTGCTGCGGCGAGGAGTGCTTAGTAATATCAAATATGACTGATGGGTGGTGGCGGGTGTGATCATGTGGCTGATGCGGAATGGCCCACAATATCGAGGGCGGAGTTTTGGAGTAATGGGTAGGTGGAGGTTCTGGGTGTCGAGTAAGACTAGGTCGTCGGGCTGGTAAGTGACAGGTCGGTGGTGGCGATCGGTGTTGCGTTTAGCGATGATGTTCGATTTTTTAATTGCGTTTGCTGCCCAGGTCTGTGCTGCTTGTAATATTTCGGCGAACTGTTGCGCTCGTGGCACTGGGTTGTTGGGATTCGGGGTCATGGGTACTGTTGGGTCTTGTCCTTAATTCAGGTAAAATGGTGACTGTTGGGTCGTGGCGGAAGGCGAGTTGTTGTACGCGAACTCGATGAGTGGCAGCTGTTGTTCCCAGGTGGTTGGGTTGTCGCACGTGGCTCGGATGAGTTGCTCCCATGGTCTGATTTGTTCTTTCTATCTGTCCGTCAGTTTTGGGGTGGTACGAAGAACTGAACTGTAGTCGCATGCCGAACTGCTGCCATAGGTTCCGCGAGAAGTTGCTGGTGAATTTCATGTCTTAGTCGCTGTTGATCGCTGCTGGTATCAAGTGCAATCGAACGACGGAGGTGATGAATAGGCGAGCTGTTTCTTTTGCTGTGATTGCGTTTGTTAGAATCTAGCAGTAGGAATGATAGAACAGGAATGATGATTTGCACTAGCAGCAGTTGAGTTACATATAGGAAACCCTAATTGGGTTGTACTCGCTATAGAGTACCCCACTACAGGCTAGACAAACTACACATTCTGACACACCCCCATAGTCAAAGTGGGGTATGATCAGCACAACAAGCAGCAGTTCACAGTTCACAAATATTAGCAAAACTAGAGGCTTTCACAGAGGGCAAGTGAGGAGGAGGAGGGACTATGAGAGGAGAGGAGGTGGTGGGCGGCAGCTGAAGCTGCTGCCACACCTGCTTCTCTCCCTTCCATCCCTTCCACCTCCTCCCTCTCCTCCGCTATAAAACTCTTCCCTTCCTTTCCTCCATCCCTCCTTCCCTCCCCTCTCATCTCACTCCCTCCCCTCCCCCTCCTCCCCCTCTCCCCCCTCCAGATGTGTGCAGCCCTCTCCTCCGAGGATCATCTCCTCCTCTCCGCGCGCTCCTCCCTCACCTCCCTCGCAGCCACTCTCCTGTGCGTGCGCCTCATCGCCTCCTGAGCTGCCTCCGCCCTCTCCCTCCTCCGCTCAGCCCTGCACTCGTCCCCCACCTCATCCCCCTCTTACGCCTCCCCTGCAGCACCTCTTGCCATCCCTCCGCCTCGCTCTCTGCTTTCCCAGCACCCGTATTTGCCACAGCGTGCGGTGGATGAGGCATCACAGGGTCAAGAGGGGGGGCAGTGCGTGCAAGGAGAGGGGGTTCTGGGCGGTGCAGGTGGGAATTATGGTTCGAACGCAAGCCGCATTGCTGTTGCTCCCGTGCATGCTCCCGTGCCTGGTTCCATGCCTGCTCCTGTGCCTGCTGCAATCGTTACTGGTAGTACCACCACCAGCGCTGCTGGTGCCGTCGCTGCTTCTGTCACTGCTGCAGCTACGGCTGCATCTGCTGTCACTGCGACCGGCGGTGCAGCAGCACCTGTCGTTGCTTCCCCAACACCTGTTCTTACCTCAGATGCTGCTGCTTCGGCTGGAGATTCATCTGCTGCTGCCGCCGCCGCCTCTGTCGCTGCTGCTGCTGCTCCTCCTCCTTTCCACTCCATACCCCCACAACTAGCGCCCTCTCCTGCACCTCCGCCTGCCACCATTGCCCCTGCATCCCTCCCAGTCCCCTTTCAACCCGCCCCCATTGCACACTCCACCTCCTCCTCCTCCTCCGCCTCTATCGCCCTCACCACTACTCTCAACCCCACCATCCCCGCTACTGCTGCACACCATGCATCCCCTGCATTTGATCCTTCTGATCCTTATCCTGCCCCTCCCCCAGTAGCCCCTCCCACACACTTCCTCGCTCACTCTCTCCCACCAACCACTCCCCTTTCAGAATTTAACACTGCCCTTCCCCCCACCACGGGTGCACCCGCTGCGTCTGCTGCTGCGGCTGCAGTTGCTGCTGCTGCTCTGCCCCCACCGATGGCTGCACCCTCCTCTGCCCCTCCCACTTCCCTGACACACGAAACCACCATGAGTGTCTCACTTCAGCTATTCCCCCCCTCCATGCCTCCCTCTCTCCCTCCCTCCATGTCTCCTTCCCTCGCTCCCTCCATGCCTCTTTCTGCTCCCTCTTCTTCCCTTTCACCTCCCAACCCTTCTCTTGCGCCTCCCCTCTCCGCTCCTCCCCTCTCCACTCCTCCCCTCTCCGCTCCTCCCCTCTCTGCCCCTCCCCTCTCTTGCCCTCCCCTCTCTGCCCCTCCCCTCTCTTGCCCTCCCCTCTCTGCCCCTCCCCTCTCGCTTTTGTTTGATCTTTTGTTTTTTGTATCGATTTTTGGGACTTCATATTTTAGCGCCATCTCGCTTTTAATTGTTCTTTTGTTTTCTGTATCGATTTTTATGTTGCTGGCTTTCCTAATGGTATGTTTTGTTATTTGTGTTCTATTGGGATGTCCTTGATAGTTGTTTCTTGGTGGTTTAATTTTAACTTTGTTGCATGGGTGGTTATTCTCTGTTTGCTGTGTGTTCATTGCTTATTGCTTGTGCAGACTACAAGAATTGGATGCTAGTATCTTTCACTTATAGGCGGATTTGTAATTTCTGAACCCTTAAGGTACCAATGTGTGTGTTATCGTCAGAGAATTCTTCTCTTAATTGGTTGGGATGAACTTTGCAAATCTTCATTTGCCTTTCAACTTTTAAATGCTTGTTTTGTTTCAACTTTTCTCTGCATATACAAGATGTTATATGATTCCATTATTGTATGATTTTTTTAAGTCTGTTGTTCAATGTCTTGTCAGATTTCAGAGTGTGTATACAAATGTGAGATTTGCAAGTGCAACTATGTATTACAAATGCTATAGCACGTGTGTAGTTCTTCGGAACATGAACTTGTATAATACATATTTTTTTTTTCTTGTTTGATGTTGTTTCTTTCAGATCCATTGACAATTTCTGGCTCTCACATTGTTAAGTTGCTGATCTTGAGCGCTCTGCAATTCAAGTACGTAATTTTGTATCATCAATATTGGAGGGTTTTGAGCGTATGAGATGTGCTGTATTTTCTTTATGCCAATATTATATGTTTTTTTGTTTGTGTCGATTCATATGAAAGTGTATCAGAGTTTGGGGTTAAGGGTCAAATGTAAATTGAAGAATGTTTGGTGAATTTTAGTAGGTATTTTTATGGACTAAATGTTTTAGCAATATAATAAAATTGAAAAATTGTTATTGAAATATTGTTTCTTGTGAAACATATTATGTTTCTTCTGTTCGTTTTCTTGCAGAACCATCGGCAATATATCCAATCTAAGTGTTCTACTATAGCATTGCGAAGACTGCAGAAGTAATCTTAGTAAGCAATATGATCCATTAATAGAATAGATGTTATGAGTAAAACTGGTTGTATTGTTTGTATATGGAAAAATAGTTGTCTAAAAATGTATTGCATATTTGGACTTTATAGAGCAACATGTATTGATATGTTTTTGTCAGAACATTATATAGCTTATACATTTGTGTAGGCTGTAGTGGGGTATCCCATAGGGGGTACAACCCAACTAGGGTTAGTACTTGTACCTACTTCATTCATAGTTGATTCATTCTCGTTTCTTCTCATGGTATCGAGCAGGTTCCCTCGTGGGAACTGTTCTTAGGGCCCACCAAAATCGAAGTTTTTTTCCTGCCCAGAGCGCGCCTCGCTTAGGCCCGCATCGTGCCCTTCCTAGGCCTCCTTCGGCCCCGTCGCGTCGCCCCTAGCGGCCTCCCTTGCGCCGCCCTTGCTCGGCCCGTCGCCGCCCTTAGCGGCCCGTCGCAACCCTACGCGGCCCGTCGCCGCCCTTGCGCCGCCCGTCCCGGCCCGTCGCCGCCCGTATTGGCCCGTCGCCGCCCGTACCGGCTCGTCGCCGCCTGTACCGGCCCATCGCCGCCCTTCGCGGCGTCGCGTGCCGCCCGTACGACGCGCCGCCGTCCTCCGCGGCCCCTTGCGCAGCCCTTTGCTGCGGCCCCGCCACCTTACCTGCGGCCCCGCCACCCTACCCGCGGCTCCGCAGCCTTACCTGCGGTCCCACCACCCTACCCGTGGCTCCGCCGCCTTACCCGCGGCTTCGCCACCTTACCTACGGCCCCGCCACCTTACCTGCGGCCCCGCCACCTTACCTGCGGCCCCGCCACCTTACCTGCGGCCCCGCCACCCTACCAGCGGCCCCGCCACCCTACCTGCGGCCCCACCACCCTACCAATGGCCCCGCCACCCTACCTGCGGCTTCGCCGCCTTACCTGCGGCCCCACCACCTTACTTGCGGCCCCGCCACCTTACCTGCGGCCCCGCCACCCTACCAGCGGCCCCGCCACCCTACCTGCGGCCACGCCGCCTTACCTGCGGCCCCGCCACCCTAACTACGGCCCCGCCGCCCTAACCTGCGGCCCAGCCGCCCTTATCTTCGGTCCCGTCACCTGCTGCAGCGCCGCCCGCCACCCGAGCCGCCCGAGCCGCCTCACCCACCCGAGCAGCCGACCGCCGCGCCGCCCTGCAGCAGCACAACCGAGCCGCCCAGCGGCAGAGCAGCCGAGCCGCCCAGCCGCCGAGCCGCACTGCAGCCGAGCCGCCCAGTCGCCCAGCAGCCGAGCCGACCTTCCGCCGAGCCGCCGAGCCACCCAGCAGCCCTGCAGCCGAGCCGCCGAGCAGCCCAGCAGCCGAGCCGCCGAGTTGCCGAGCCGCCCTACCACCGAGCCGCCCGAGCAGCCCCGTCCGGTGAGCGCCGCGCCTCTGTCACTGCACTGCCCTTTCCCTACTGTTTGCACTGCTAGTCTACTATAGTCATGGCTACCCCTACCACTTTAGTCATTACAAGAGTGCTCAGACCTTGTACGACGCTGTAGTTGCACGCTACTCCTACCCTGCCACTGCTGCACTGAGCCGTCTCATGCTACCGTACCTCTTCCCTGACCTTGCTGCCTTTCCCACAGTCGCTGACCTCACTACGCACCTCCGCACTAGTGACACTCGCTACCGCGCTGCGCTTCCTGCTGACTTCTGCGCCAAGAACCCCCCCCCTCCATGTACATCACCCTCTACTACATTGTCACCCGACCCCCTGACTCCCTTCGAGTAGTCAGGGACCACTTCCTCGCAGTGTGCCCCACCACTCTCACCGTTGATCTCCTCGAGAAGGCCCTCCTAGCGGCGGAGAAGAGCATAGTCGCTGTAGGAGCCTCTCGTGGTGACCCCCGCACCCCTGTCTTTGAGGGGTGCTCTCCCTCCCCCCTCTTGCCCTCTGTTGCCTCTGCTATTGCGGCGACCTCGTTGCCCCTTCGGGGAAGCGCCGCACAGGCAAGGGCAAGGGGGGCAAGGGCGCTGGAGGAGCTGGCGGGGGCGGTGGAGGCGGCGGTGGAGGCAGCGGAGGGAGTGGGGGTGGTGGTGGGAGTGGTGGCGGGGGTGGGGGTACCGGTGGCAGCAGTGGAAGCGGAGGCGGCGGCGGTGGCGGAGCGAGCGGAGGCGGCGGTGGTAGCGGAGGTGGCGGTGGTGGCGGAGGCGGCGGTGGTGGCGGAGGCGGCGAAGGCGGCGGGGGTGGCGGTGGAGCTGGTCGCGGGTCTACGCAGAGGAGTGGCTCCGGTGGTGGTCCGCGCCAGCAGCAGCAGCGCGGTCGTGAGACCCTGTCCCTTCAACAGCTCCGTGAGTGGTACGCTGCACGCCAGCGGGGTGGGGGTTTTGGTCCGTGCACCTACGTCCTGCGCACCGGCGACCGTGCGGGTGAGCAGTGTGGGGGTGCGCACCTCACCCAGCGCTGCTTTGGCCGCCTGACGGACGCGTGGCGTCACCAGTTCCCGGAGGCCACAGAGATCCCTCGATGGGGCGAGCTGTCTTGAGCGGGAGTTGCCATCTATGTTCTTGTTTTTTATGCTATTCTTTCTGCCATGTATGCTGTGACTATTAGTGATGAGGGTGACTGTTACCGGTGTTTCCCGCCCGATCCGGGCATTGAGACTGCTGCTCTAGGTACTGGTGAGGCGGCTGCCCTAGGTGCTTGCAACGCTGCTGCTCTAGGTGCTAGTGCGTCTGCGTCCTCAGGTACTGGTGAGTCTGCGCTCTCAGGTACTACGTCGGCTTCGGCCTCCCTCACCTTCACCCTTGACTCAGGGGCGTCTCGCTCCTTCTTTCGGGACCGCACCACACTCACGCCGCTTAGTCGGCCGGTTGCGGTGTCTCTGGCTGACCCCTCTAGGGGTCCTGTCCTGTCTCACTTCTCCACAGTCCTCCCGTGTCCGGCGGCTCCCACTGGCACCCTGTCTGGTCTCTACCTCCCCTCGTTCTCTATGAACCTGGTGAGTGGTGGTGACCTACAGGATGGGGGAGTCCACCAGTTCACTCCTGCACGTCAGCGGGTGACGCACTGCACAGAGGCTAGCACAGGCCGACACCTGGCTACGTTCATCCGTCAGCCGGGGTCGAGCCTGTACACACTGACCACTGCGTCTCCTCCAGTTGCTGAGTCTGGTAGGGTAGCTACATCGGGTCAGGTGTTTGCTGCAGCGTCCAGGTCTGGTCCAGAGTTTGCCCCCTGTTTATGTCGTCTCCTGTCTCACGAGACTCTCCTTTGGCACCACCGCCTTGGTCACCCCTCTCTGCTTCGGCTCAGAGGCATGGCCTCCCGTCTTCTTGTTTCTGGTCTCCCCCGGTCCCTCCCTCCCCTTCCTCAGGGCCCTGGCCCTACCTATGTCCTCTGTGTCGAGGGGCGCCAGCGTGCTGCCCCTCACTCCTCCCAGTTTCCTCCGACAGAGGCCCCGTTGCAGACGCTTTACATGGACGTGTGGGGCCCATTCCGCGTCCGTGGACAGGGTCACGAGCGCTACTTCCTGCTCGTTGCTGACGACTACTCGCGTTACACCACAGTCTTCCCCTTGCGCAGCAAGGGTGATGTCACAGCTCAGGCCGAGCTTTGGCTCGGACTTTCTTGTTCTGCGTCTGCACTCGGACAGAGGCGGAGAGTTCTCCTCTGGACTTCTGCGAGCCTACTGTCGCGCACGAGGCATCCGTCAGACCTTCACGCTTCCGGACTCCCCGCAGCAAAATGGGATTGCTGAGCGCCGCATTGGCATGGTGATGGACGTCGCCCGTACGTCTATGATGCATGCGGCTGCTCCCCATTTTCTGTGGCCGTTTGCACTGAGGTACGCGGTGCATCAGATCAACCTACACCCCAGAGTCTCCAGGCCGGAGACCTCCCCAGCCTTGCTGTCGACGGGGAAGGTTGGCGATGCGTCGGCGTTCAGGGTCTGGGGATCTCGGGCGTTTGTCCGCGACTTGTCTGCGGACAAGCTGTCCCCTCGTGCTGCTCCCTGCGTCTTCCTGGGGTTCCCCCCTGATGCGCCTGGGTGGCAGTTCTACCACCCCACCTCTCGCCGTATTCTGTCCTCCCAGGACGTCACATTTGACGAGTCGGTCCCCTACTACTTCCTCTTCCCCTACCGCACTCCGTCCCTCCCCCCGCCGCCGCTCTTCCTTGTACCTGGTCCCCCTTCGATAGACCCCCTCCCCCCTCAGGGTCCGTCCCCTTCAGGTGTGTCCCAGGTAGACGCAGTCGAGCCTGTCGAGGTTACTGGTGACTCTGGTGTTGCTGAGGGTGCTGAGCCTGGGGGTGCTGACTCTGGGGGTGCTGAGCCTGGGGGTGCTGGACCTGGGGGTGCTGAGCCTGGGGGTGCTGACTCTGGGGGTGCTGAGCCTGGGGGTGCTCGACCTGGGGGTGCTGAGCTTGGGGGTGCTGACTCTGGGGGTGCTGAGCCTGGGGGTGCTGGGCCTGGGGGTGCTGAGCCTAGGGGTGCTACGCCTGGGGGTGCTGGGCCTGGGGGTGCTGAGCCTGGGGGTGCTGAGCCTGGGGGTGCTACGCCTCGGGGTGCTGTACGTGGGGGTGCTGAGCTTGGAGGTGCTCCGCTTGGAGATTCTCCGGGTGCTTCGTCTCGCCGGGAGCCACTCCC